CTTTCCCCCCCACCCCCAACTCAAAGGGGCGCAAGTAAACTTTTTCCAAACTGAAGGAGAAGATGTCACTGGGGAGCTGGGCGAACTCGCTAGCTGGCCAGTGATGTTCTCAAAGCGGAGCCCTCACATCGGTGGGAGCGTGTTCCGGAACTTTTCCGCACGTGGAGCGCTCGAGCGCTCCCACTGCCCCATAAAAGTAACGATCGCTTTCCACACTAATGGAAAAAAGGGAGCATCGGGCATTGTGCAGGAGATCCCACATAAAAGAGTTTTTCCGTAGCGGTGTTTTTCCAGCACTGAGGGGTCCCGCTGCTTTAGCTAGCGGCAGTGTCTGAGGCCCCCGAAACGATACCTCTGAGGGTCTGGCCGCTTATCGCTAAGGATCACTATCTCTGTGGAGGTTATTAGCATGTTTTTCTGCATTCCTGCGATGTTTTCCAAAAATACGAATTCAGAAGGCTGGAGGGGGGTGAGGGGGTTTGGCACGTTAATAGCAAAGGTGGGAGGGTGATACCGCGTGAGCTTGATGGCTTTACCTTCCCGCCACGTGTGGATGACGAGTCTTCCACAGCATGGCTCCTAATGACAAGCCCAGGTAGGGGTGTTTCTCTCCATGATTCCACCCCCCGCCAAAGCCGTGTTTGTTTTTGCACCCAGCGGTGCCACCCGTGCTGTAATCCACAGTGCGTGACTCTGCCACTAATTGGCCTTTTTTTTTTTTTTGTAGCCTTGCACTCATTTGTAACAGAAGACGTCATGTTTTACACGCCCACGCGCTGCGTGAAAGTTCGGGCTAATCAAATGCAGTGGGTTCAGCATGGTCACAGCGGATCACGGCTTTGTAAAAATCACAGTGGAAGGCAGCTGAGGGATGGGAGGCAGCGGTCCCAGCTTGACGATCAGCCCTGTGGACACCTTCGCCGTGCATTCCTCATTCGTGGCTCACGGTTCTCCCGTCCGGTCCAAGCCGTCGATTCAAACAGCTTCTACAGAGGGGAAATTATTTTTCACAGCCCCCCAGGGGCCCGGGGCCCCGCCAAGCAGTACTGCTCCACGCTTCCCCCTGCAGGTGGCCAGCCAAACTCACACTCCTGTGGGAAGGCTCGGGTGACAGGTCACTCCAGTCGGAAAAATGTTACAGGCCTGACCATATTCCACCGTAACGACTGGTCCGCATTATATCGTATATGCAGAGTTACAGATACTAAAACTCGTGGCTTCTGGGGTCATGCAATATATATAGGGGCATAAGAGGGGTATGGAGACCCTGGCAGATTCAGGGGGCTCAAAATGTACCATCACCCCGCCACACTCAGCAAGATATACCAGGGGGACCCTAGTGGGGGGCCCAGTATTTATAGCTACTCCCCTGAATATATGAGAATATTCACACCTGCAACCTGCTTCATTTGTTCTTTCTTTAATGATTTAAAGACCAACCTGTTTTAATATGGGAACAGGTCACTCTAGTATAAATAACTGAATTGATTTGATGTTAAAAGTTACTATTTATTTCTTTTATTTCATGATTTCTAAATCTTGTAGCTATGGTAGATTCTTCAGCCTCTGCCCTGTTGTTAATAGATTGAAGATTTGATTTTGAAAGATGTGGGGGAGGGCGGTAGTGTGGTATCACGACACCGTCCTTCAGGGACGGAGGGAACAGGCGTGGGGGGGGGGAGCTGGACTAGCACCCCACTGGCATGTGAAGGAACGAGACCATGGAACTGCAGAACCTGTCCGTTTTATCTGCATGCTCTTTGTGAAACACAGTGGCTCACTGTTCTTATTAGTCTTTCATGGAAGCACTTTCTAGAATCCTATTTCCTGTTTCCTCTCCTTCTGATTAGTGTTTATGTTTAGTAATCTGTTTCATATAATCTTCTGTGCATGCAGACTTCCTCAAATGACATCTTCCCTAATCATGCGGCTTCAACCCACGGGAAACGGCGCCAGCATCGCAGGACTCTGCTGCACCTTTGAGAAGCAGATCGAGGACTTCGGCTTACTGTCACGGAAGATGCCAGGAAAAAGGCTTGGGTGGCACTGACTTGCTTTGCTACTTCGTTCAGCGGTCACCAAATAAATGCTAATAATTATACGTGTGAGCAATCTTTTCCACTGTCTCGCACGATGACGTTCATCCTATTCCATGCGATGAAGGTGCTCTTTGCAACGCGAACTATACAAAGACACAGAACTTATGATGAGACATTGAGACCATGACAAGTTTCTAGAAACTTCCCTCTTCAGTAGTTATTGGTTCATTGCATTATTTCTAATGGTTAATGAGATGCTTACAGGTTCAAGACTGCCCTCCAGCACAGAACCAAATCAGCCCAGGTTCCACAAAACTCCCAACCTGTCCATAACCAACACAGCATTAATAATTGAGCTGTCTTTGTTACTCTGGGTGAATGAACTCCCTAATTACCTTAATAATGACTTTAGACTTCAGGCTTCACTACATGACATGGGCTCAGGGCACTGAGGCTTGCCCGCTGTCCTTTTGTCACACACCACCAATGGTGGCACGGTGTCCAAACTCCACCCACCATGACAGATGCCCCCTCTCCCCAGCCCTGACCCTCCTCACCTATGCAGAACACGTGCCCTGACCGCCTACCCTGAAGTGCAAACGTCTCCATGACACTCCGGCGGGGCCTGGCCGCCGCCCGCACTGTTCCGGGGACGCCCCTCTCACATCAGGCTTGGGCTCCCTGCCAGCCGCCTGCTTCACAGAGACCACATTTAATCACTTTCGAATGTGAGCGCCGGAGAGAACCCGAGCAGCGGCTTCTCTCCTACTGGGGCAGCATTCATTTATTGCTGTTTCTTAGTGTGCTTTTCAAAAAGGCTCTTTGGCCTGGGGGGGGGGCTTGCGTGGGCACTGAGGGGCGGATGTGTTCATGAGGTACAGAGATGTGGTTTCACGCGTGGATGTGTCAGACCATCGCTCCCATTCTGCAACCTCACCATCCCGGTTCTGTTTTTAGATGCAATTACACTCAACCCATTTATTTAAATGAATCACACATTTTGTCACGCTTCAAATTTAATTCATATTTACTATACAACTTCATATAAACCACCTAAGGATCCTGCAAAAAAATCCAATGCAATTAGACACCATAAAAATTGTATTCTGTCTTTTCCTAATCATTGAGAAGTATGGTCCAGTAGACACAGATGTGAAAAGGCGTATGTCACAGAGTGTAGCTGCTCCCAGCACATGGAGGAAGGTGCCAGGGAAAGATAATGACTTTTCTGAACTGTAGCAGCACGTCTGCAGATAGGCACTGTGTACAAAAGCGCTGCTCCACGCCTTCCACTGCAATGCCTGACTGGAACTGGGGGGCTGCAGCCGTCGTCTATCTCTGCGACTCCACCTTGGACTGGAGCTGCAAACTTCAAGGGGAAAATATGAACAGAAGAATTACCACGTCTTTGAAACTGGCTTTACACATTTGACCGTATCTCCCCCCCC